TGAGATCCTCTATGTCTTTACTTATATTTTATGTAGTTGCTCTATTAATTTCTGAGAGAGGAGTGTTAAAATCTCCAAATATGATTGTGGGTTTTATGTTCTTCCCTTTAATTTGTCCATTTTTGTTTCCTATATTTTGAAGCTCTGTTACTAGGCACATACACCATTATGATTGTTACATCTTCCTGATGAATTGACCATTTTATTATTGTGAAAATGTCCCTCTTTCATCTCTTGCAATGCCCTGAAACCAGTTTTTTTCTGATATTTAATATAATCACTCCAGCTTTCTAATATTTATTATTTGCATGGTGTATCTTTTCCCATCCATTTGCTTGTAACCAGTCTGTGTCTTTATATATAAAATGTGTCTCTTATTGACAGCATATATTTGAGTCTTACTTTTTAATCCATGCTGATAATCTCCTCCTTTTAACTGGAGTATTAACATTTAAGGTAATTATCTCTGTGGCTGATTTAGGTTTACAATTTTGTTACTTGTTTTCTGGTTGTCCCTTCTGATTTTTTTCTTCCTTTTGTACCTCTTATACCTACTTTCCTGACTTCTTTTAGATTATTTCATTTTTTTTTTAGAATTCCATTTTAACTTATTTATTGGTATTTTAGCTGTTTCTGTTTACAGTTTTTGAGTGGTGGCTCTGTATATTATACATCCTTAACTTTTCAGACTAGATAGTTACCGTTGTACCAGTTCACATAAAATGTGGAAACCTTGCAACCATACAGTTCCAGTTACGCATTGCTCTGTCTTTTATTATTATGGTTATTATATGGTATGTATGGTATACTATAACATACATGTGTATATTATATACTGTATATATTATAAGCCCCACATGACATTGTTACAAAGTTGTTTTTGGTTTTTTGCTTCAAAGACATGCAAATTTTATCCCTACTAACTTAATATTAGCAAACATTTTAAATAATGCTAAATCCCTGTGCTGATAAGGCTGTGTGTGTGTGTGTGTGTGTGTGTGTGTGTGTTAAAATATATGTAACATAAAATTTACCATTTTATCTGTTTTTATTTTGTTGCACATGCTTTTGGTGTCATATACAAGAAATCATTGCCAAGTCATAAAGATTTTCTCCTGTTTTATTCTAAGAATTTTATAGTTTTAGCTTTTTTTAAAAACATTTTTTATTGATTTATAATCATTTTACAATGTTGTATCAAATTCCAGTGTAGAGCACAATTTTTCAGTTATACATGAACATATATATATTCATTGTCACATTTTTTTCTCTGTGAGTTACCATAAGATCTTCTGTTTATTTCCCTGTGCTATACAGTATAATCTTGTTTATCTATTCTACAGTTTTGAAATCCCATCTATCCCTTCCCACCCTCCTCCCCCTTGGCAACCACAAGTTTGTATTCTATGTCTATGAGTTTATTTCTGTTTTGTATTTATGCTTTGTTTTTTTGTTTTTGTTTTTGTTTTTTAGATTCCACATACAAGCGATCTCATATGGTATTTTTCTTTCTCTTTCTGGCTTACTTCACTTAGAATGACATTCTCCAGGAGCATCCATGTTGCTGCAAATGGCGTTATGTTGTCAGTTTTTATGGCTGAATAGTATTCCATTGTATAAATATACCACATCTTCTTTATCCAGTCATCCATTGACGGACATTTAGGCTGTCTCCATGACTTGGCTATCATAAATAGTGCTGCTACGAACATTGGAGTGCAGGTGTCATCCTGAAGTAGGGTTCATTCTGGATATATGCCCAGGAGTGGGATTCCTGGGTCCTATAGTAAGTCTATTCTTAGTCTTTTGAGGAATCTCCATACTGTTTTCCATAGTGGCTGCACCAAACTGCATTCCCACTAGCAGTATAGGAGGGTTCCCCTTTCTCCACAGCTTCTCCAGCATTTGTCATTTGTGGATTTTTGGATGACGGCCATTCTGACTGGTGTGAGGTGATAAGTTTTAGCTTTTAAGTTTAGGTCTTTTACCGATGTTGGGTTAATTTTTATGTATGGTGTTAGGTAAGGAACCAACCTCATTCTTCAGAATGTTGATATCCAGTTTGTAAAATGTTATAATTTTTTCTATAAACATATCTATATATCTTTTTTAATTTAAGAGAGTAGAAAAACTTGTTTGTATATACCCAGATATTTACATTTTCTTTTAGCTTGAAGAGCTTTTGGCTTTTCTTCTAGGGCAAATTTGCTATAAATTCTGAGTATTCTTTAATTGGAAAATGTCTTTATTTCACTTCCTTCTTTAAAGATGTTGTCACTGGATGTAGAAAATTTTCAGTAATTTGAATATGTTCATCCATTGTCTTATGGCCTGTACAGTTTCTGATAAGACATCAACACTTGTTAAATTGTTGTTCTCTGTATATGATCTTTATATGTGATGGGTCATTTTTCTCTGCTTTGTAGATTTTCTCTACCTAGTTTTCAGCAGTTTGGCTGTGATATGTCTAGACATGATTCTCTTTGTATTTATCCTGCTTTGGGGTTCACTATGTTCTTGAATCTAAAAAATGTTTTCTACTAAATCTGGGTAACTTTCAGACATGTTACTGAAGTTATTTTTTTCTGCTCCAGTCTCTCTCTTCTTCTGGGATTCAGTTACACATACATTAGGCCTTTTGCCATTGTCTCCCAAATCTCAGAGGCTTTATTAATTTTTTTCTTTTTCTTTTTCTCTTTAGATTGGATGATTTCTGTTGTTCTGACTTCAAATGTACTCACTTCTTTGTCGTCTCCATTTCCTTTAAGCCCATCCAGTGACTTTCTTATTTCTGATATTGGATCATTGGGTTGTTTTGTTTCATTTCTAAAATTTCCATTTGGTTCTTTTTCATTACATCTGTTTCTCTGCTGAGATTTCCTATCTTTTCATTTATTTCAATGTTTTTCCTTTATCTCATTGAACAGCATGATGGTAACTTTTTCAGTAATTTTACTGTTAATCCTAACAACTGTGTCGTTTTGGAGTTGGTCTCTGTTTACTATCTTTTCTCTTGAGAATAGGTCACATTTTCCTGTTTCTTTGTATATTGAGAAACTTTGGATTTTATCCTGGAATTATGAATGTCATATGGATTTTGTTTTATTCCTCCAGAGAGGATTGATGCTTTAGTGTATGAGGCAGTTCAGTTGACCGGACTCAAACTGCAGTAGGTCAGACATCCATTCCATTTGTCTGCTTTTTTGGTTTGTTTTTACATTTAATCTACACATGCATGGTTCAGAGGTCAGCCAGATATTCGAGTATTGTGTATACACAGAATATGGGGCTTCCTCTTTCTGGCTACCCTCTTTATGAGATTTCCTCCCTTGCTTTTTAGCAGCTGTGATTGTACCAAACTTTGTCCTTTGTTTCTGCAGGCTACTGAAGACTAGATTTTTCAGCAGTTTTAGCTGTGCTGTATGGGGCCATAAACTGTGGCCTGCCCTCAACCTATAGATTGGGAGGAGGGGAGAAAGTTGACTGCCCTAGTTCCTTCTTCTGAGTGTCAATACCTCTCACAAATCTGCCTGCTTTAGTTCACTCTCTAGTGCCTTCGGATATTTGTTTTTGTAATTTTGCCCAGAATTTATCATTGTTATTCACAGGAAATTTGATCCAGTAGGAACTTATTTAGTCATGTTGGAAGCAGAACTCCTGCACTGGCTGACTTAGAAATTTGTCCACATGTATATTAGTGCTATTTCTACCACTTAGAGTTGTGGAACCTCTGCTTTCTGGAATCCATGACACATTCTTTTGAATATCTTTAAGGATGGCGAATCTTCAGACTTCAAGTCTTGCATCAGTTTTTTTTTTTTTTAATTTAAATAGCCAGAACAACACTTGGAATCAAGAATGGTAGATAATTTTTGCAGTAAATGATAAATATAGTGAGCAAGTTGAGTTATTCCTTTTTAAGGTCAAAAATAAAGTGGGTCTTTGAAATAATGAGAATTACTACTACAGTTAATAAACTCATTTTTAAAATGTTTAAAAGAGAAATTTTCAGGTACTTTTGAGCATTGCCATTGCCATTTGTATATCTTCTTAGGGAGTTAACGGGTAACATCCTTTGCCCCCCTCCTTTTCTTTTTGGAATACTTTTCACTCGTTTTTTTTTGGAAAAGGGCTTTCTAGGAAGGGTTGGAACCCTTTTTCAATCATTTATATTAAAAATACTTTATACAGTTTGTCCCTTACCTTTCATTATTTATGAGATTTTTCTCAAATGTGATTTAAAATCTTGTGTAGCCAGATGTTTCCATTTTCCCTTTATGAAATTTGTTTTTATGCTTAGAAAAATCTTCCTAACCTCAAACCAAGTGAATAATCATATTTTCTTCTCATTATTTCACTTTTTGAAAAATTATTATTATTAAAATTATTATCTGGAATTTATTTTGCTGAATTATGTGAGATAGAGATCTAACTTAATTTTTCAAAATGGTTTATAAAATAGCAGCATTTATTAAATAATTTATTTTGTCCCTAGTTAACTAAAAGTTGAGCTTCATCATATGATTGATAGATAGATAGATAAATGCTATGCTAAAATCTATATAGAGAGATAACAGATGCATACTAGCATCTGTTTTTTTTTTTTCTATTCTTGAAACATAACTTTATTGTTTTAGTTACCTTAGCTTTGTAATATGTTGTAATACTAGTGATGTGAGTTTACACACATTTCTTTAATGTATTTTTTGCAGTATACCTTTGGCTTTTCCTACCTACTTATGCTTTATGCAAACTTCAGAATAATTTTAAATACTTTTAACTTCCCCTGCAAAATCCTCATGGTATTTTTTTTAATTGAGATGTAATTAACATGTAACATTAGTTTCAGGTGTACAGTATGATTAGTTATGTGGATATAATGCAAAGTAATCGCAACAATAAGGCTAGTTAACAATCCATCACCACACATAGTTATAAATATCTTTTTCTTGTGATGATACTTTTAAGATTTACTCTTAGCAACTTTCAAATATATAGTAAAAGATACGGAACACATCACAAATTTGCTGGTTATCCTTGTACAGGAGCTATGTTAATCTTCTCTGTATTGTTCCAGTGTTAGTATATGTACTGCCAAAAACGAGCACTCCTCATGGTGTTTGATTGGAATTACATTCACTTTAAAAATTTTTCAAAGATTTTGAACATTGGTATAAGTTTTCTTTATTTATTTATTCTTATTTTCTTATTAGAACAAAGTATTCTCTAAATACCAATTATTTTTATGTCTCCCACAATTTTTCATTAATTTTCTTGCTATAGTGAATGGGATTTTTTTCCATTATATCTTCTAAATAGTACTTGGGAAGAGCTAACTTATTTATATCCAGCTGTCACATTAAATTCTCTTATTAATTCTATGTTTTTAGCAAGTCACTTTGGAATTTCTAAGTATATTCACTTCAAATAATGACAGTGTTACCTCTTTTTCAAAAGTTACATGTCTTTTTTCTGATTTCTCATTGCCTTGACACATCTCCCACCACTCTCCTGTTCACTTACTCCTTACTGGCCAAATTGCCCTACTTATTCTTTAGTTATATGAAACAACTCATGCCTCTGGGCCTTTGCACTTCTTTTCTGTTGCATTCATCATTATCCTACAGTGTATTTACTTTCTAATGTCCTTCAGATTCCTGTTCAGGAGCCAGCCTTATCAGAAAGTTTTTTACCAGTAATCTATAAAAATGAACAATCTATCCCAGACACTCTCTGTCCCATTACTGGACTTTATTTTTCTTCTTAACGTGTACCATCACCTACCTGACAACTGATTTTGTTTTGTTTTTGCTTTGCTTATTTATTGTCCCCAACTAGAATGTAAAACTTTGATTTTATTCACTGTATTACTCCCCAATGCTTAGAACAGTGCCTAGAGAATGGATCCTTATCCTTCCCTGTACCACTGATAAGCATTTATTGGCTGAATAAGTAAGTGAATTGAAGGAACTTATCTATAAGGCATCTCAGACTATAGAAGTTTTGGAAAGAAAAACACTGACACCTCCTTTTTCTGTTTCTTCTTTTATTGTGTATCTTTTCAGAATTTTTAGTTCTAATGTCAAATTTTTAGGCAGGATTATTGACATATAACATAAATATATACAGTAAATAGTCCACCAATGTGTTTAGTTGGATGAGTTTTGACAAAAATATACAGTAGTATAATATCACCACAATCAGGATGTGAAATCTTTTCATCACTTTTTGTGTCAACTTTGTTGACTTATAATATCCAGAAAATCATCCATTTCTCTGAAATCTTCACATTTTTAAAATCTCTTCACTAATTAAAAATTAAGGATACATTATTATATCTGCTTTCCATTTCTAATTATATTTCTATGTTACCTGATTTTTTTCTTTAGTTTATTAGCAGTTAGTTATTTCTTAGTTTTCAAAGACTAGCTCTTATATTTATTGTCTTCTAATTCATTAATTTTTATTTTAATGTTTATTTTCTTCCTTTCATTTTTCTTGGACTTGTTTTGTTTTTCTACACATGTTGATCTTTTGTGTTCATTTGTTTTTTATTAGTTTACTTAAAGGCTTTATGGCTTTGAATATGCCATTACTCATACTTTGGCCACATTCTGATTCGTTTAGATGTGTGCTGTTCTAATGATCATTTTCTAAGTAGACTTTGATTAACATTTTTATTTTTTCTTTTTGATTCTGAAGTTACTTAGGAGAGTTTTGTTTTTTGGATTTCTTGAACTACGTCATTTAATTTCTGTGTTGCAGTATTTTTAAATTTAATTTATTGAGGTAAAATTCATACAACATATAAAATTAACCATTTGAAGAGAAAAATTCAGTGACATTTAGAATATTCACAATGTGTGCAACCAGCATCTCCATACTTACTGCATCTTAATTCCCGTTGTTTATCTTTACTTTTTAAAATACAGTACTTTATTTTTCTCTAATTATCAAGTAGAAGAATTAAATAGGATATAACTTTCTGTCATTTTAGTTAGGATTATGTTCAGCTGCAAGAAACAGAAAATCCCCAAATGATGGTAACTTAAATAAAATAGAAATAGGTTTCTGTCTCAAGTGGAGGAAGCCCAGAGGTTTTCTGGTTTGGCACTCCGTGGTGTCATGGACTGAGGTTTTTTTATTTTGTTGCTCTGCTATACTTGGTTTTCATTTCCAAGGACGCTCAGAGTCTAAGATGGCTATTGGAATGCTAGCCACTTCATCTGTATGCAAGCCTGTGGGAAGTAGAAACAGTTTTAAGAAAGGAATGGCAATTTTTAAAAATCTTTAAAAGACACCTCTTTCTTTAAGCACCTTTCCTGGGAATTCATACACACTTCTGCCTACATTCTGTTAGCCAGAACTAGAGTCACATGGCCAAACCTAGCTTCAGTGTAGACTGGGAAATATTTTTATTCTAGGTAGATCATATGCACAGCTAAAAATCAAGAGTTCTGTTACAAGGGAAGAGAAGAGCAGATAATGGGAAACAATTAGTGGTTTCTGCCACACCTCCCCAGAAGTACATGTACCACCTCCTGCTTCCTCCTTCTCTTACCACTCCTCCATTTCCTAGTTTTAATATGTATCAATGAGATTTTAGATAGTAGTGGGTATTTACTAAAGACTTACAATGGGCCAGTGTTTAACCTGCCCAGCAACTTTACCTGGAGGTTAGTACTGTCATTATCTCTATCTTATAGATGAAGAAAATGAGACCCAGAAAGATTAAACTTTTTACCTAAGCTCATATATCCAGTAATTCAAACCCATGCTGTAGTATCCAGATTAACCACTATATACTCCCAACCCTGTTATCATTAAATGTTTTTACAGTGTATATACATTATGTATACATTGTGTATCTTTCCTCTGATGACTACTTTTTGACATTTGCATTGTATCAGAATCCTATTAACATCACTTAAATAAAATTAAATATCTTTTGCTCTTTTTGCTTTATGCCATTTGTTTTTTAATACAGTTTTATGTATTTTATGTTCCTGGGTTTTATTTGTTTGTTTTTTGTTGTTGTTTTGGGGGGGTTTTTTTGTTGTTTTTACTTTTTACTGTTGAAACTTTCAAACATAAAAGAAAAGTAAAGAGAATAGTATAATGAATCACTGTGTAACTGAAGCAGTTATCAACATTCTGCCAATATTTTTTTCAATCATTATCTTTGTATCCCTGCCAAATTTTGTTCTTGGAGGTTTTAAATCATATTCCATTCATCTTAACTGAAAATACTTCAGTAGATACCTCTAACTGGTAAGGCTTTTTTCCCTAGCATAACCTCCAAAACGTTATACATATCAAATTTAATAATCTGTTAATATCATATAGTCCATTTTCAGATTCTCCAAATTATCTCAAAAATGTCATTTCACAATGGGTTTGTCAGAATTAAAATATAAGCAAGCTCCATACTTTGTGTTTGTTTGATGTGTCTCTTAAGGGTCTTTTAATGTATAACAGTTTCCCCACCTCCCCTTTTTAAAATGCCGTTTATTTGTTGAAGATGTTCTTGATTTTTTCTTTTAAACAATGCTTTTGATTTTTCTTTTTACTGATATCTTGTTATACTGGGATACATGTTTAAGTAATATTTTTTCTGAGAGAAAAGTGTTTCTTATCTTTCTGAGTCTTAGTTTATCTGAGAATGCCTTTCTTTTGCCCTTCTACATGATGGGGCAGTTTTGGGGCAGAAAAGTCTGGGGCCAATCAGATCTGTGTGTGGGTTTTTGTTGTTGCTGTTGTTGTTTTTGTTTGTCTGTTTTAATGCTTACAGGATTATTTTTTCTCATTATCCTTGGAAATTAAAGACTGAACCTGGGTATGTCTGGGTCAGGGATGGCAAATGTCTGATAGGTGTACTTTCATTCTGTGCCAAAGACAGCATTGCTACTTGATCACAACACCCTTTCCCATTGAATACAAATGAAGCCTCAGGCTCATTGAAAAAAAATAAAAATAAAACAGTCAGGCTTTAAATCTCTCTTTTACTCAGGAAAGTTTCCTTGTCCTTTTCCCCCCACTTCCTTTCTCATGTTTTAAAAATTATTACTCTTGTCCTATCAGTCTTTATCTCTCTGGAATAGCTTTTAAAGATTAGGGTTCTCGCTCCACATGTCTATACCCCCATCCCCATTATTTTCATGCCTGTTTGTCCTTCTGTGTTGTAGAAGAGGCTCAACCAAGTCGTCCATCTCACTAATTCAGTTTTCCGTTACTGTTTTCTGTTGCTTACAGCCTTACCTGCAGTTTTTCCTGATCATTTTTGATATGACTTCCTAATCTGGATTGAAATGAAGTTTACTACATGGTGGGGTGTTTTTGTTTTCATTCTGTTTTTCTACTTTTTTTATTGAAGTTTAACCTTCTTAAAGTAGTGTGCACTACTTTTTTTTAAGTTGAAGTACAGTCAATTACAGTGTGCCAGTTTCTGGTGTATAGCACAGTGTCCCAGTCATTAATACGTACTACTTTTAAGTTTAAACTAAGTACATTTTTACATATGGTTATGTTCATGCTAACTGCCACCCAGATCAAGATACAAAATATTTCTCACACCCCAGCCGGCTCCTTTATACGCCCTCATTAATACTCTCCCTCACACAGGTAACAGTTTTTCTGACCTCGTTCACTACCAGTTAGTTTTGCCTGTTTTTGAACTGCATGTAAATGGAATCATATGCTACATACCCTTTGTATCTGGCTTCTTTTATTCAATAAAATCTATGAGAGATTTATTCATGTTGTTATATGTAAGAGTAGTTCATTCTTCATGATTGCTGTGTAGTATTTTGTTGTATAAATATAGCACTTTTTTTTAACTATTGATGAAAGTTTTTTTCTTTTGCCAGTCTTGTCTGTTATGAATAAAGCTTCCAATGGGCTTTTTATATATGTCTTTTGGTGGACATATGCTCTATTTCTCTTATATACCTAGGAATGGGATTGTTAGGTCATAAGGTAGATATATGTTTAACTTCAGTAGACACTGCCAAATGGATTTCTAAGGTAGTTGTGCCAGTATACATGACCATCTGCAATATGTGAGAACTTCAGTTGTTCCACATCTTTGCCAACTGTTGGTTTTAATTTT